ATGTCTGGTTTTGTTCCTTAGGCAGCCGATGTGATTTCAGTATGTATGTATGTATGTATATATAAACAAGCATTATGGGATATACATATAGCTTGTTTGACAAAGCTCATTAGCTCAAGCCTGCAGTACTGACAATCATGTTGCCAATCCAAATTTATCTGAATATTTATAATAAAATAATTAGATTATGAAACAATTATTAAAGTTTTAATTTATATCCTCTAAAGCACCTGAAGGCAGGACAAGAGGTAGCAAATGGAAACTTATCAAAGAGAAAAGCAATCTAGAACAAAGCAGATATTTTCTAACAGTGGGATCAATTAATCAGTGGAACAACTTTCCCCCAGAAGTTATGAATGCTCCAACACTGAAGGTTTTTAAGAAAAGACTAGACAGCCATTTGACTGAAATGGTACAGGGTCTCCTGCTTGAGTAAGGGGTTGCACTAGAAGACCTCCAAGGGCCCTTCCAACTCTGTTATTCTGTTATCAGTCAGATGCTGGGGAATAAACATTGGAAAAGGGAGCCCTGGTGGCGCAGTGGTTGGAATAAAGTATTGCAAGAAAACTCCGCCCACAGCCAGGAGTTTGATCCTGACTAACTCAAGGCTGACTCAGCTGTCCAGCCTTCTAAGGTTGGTAAAATGAGGACCTAGATTGTTGGGAACAAGATGCAAATAATGCTTACACTGCAAACCATCCAGAGAGTGCTGTAAAGCACTATGGGGCGGTATATAAGACTCAATGCTATTGCTATAATACATAATCTGTAAAAAAATTTGTGTACGGACATCTAAAAATCTTTGTACACTAAGGTCTAAATAGCAATGTTGAGTTCACAGTTCTTTCCTCTGGGATAGGGACGAGGAAGGACGGCCCTTTAATGACTCATGGACTTCAACTCCCAGAATTCCTGAGCCAGCCATGGCTCAGAATTCCATGCTGGCTCAGGAATTCTGGGAGCTGAAGTCCACAAGTCATAACGGGGTCACGGTTCCCCACTCTAGGAAATCACACATAATCAGCCCCACCAAACTGGAAATAAGAAAACTCAAATTCATAAGATTAACACTGGTTAAAAGATTTTAAAAATTGTAACAGTATATTTTTGACAATGAACATTTTAAGAATCGGATAAAGATATTTCGGGGCAGGCAGCTTTCAATTCTCCAAATCTATACGCAGAATCAGAACTGGGAGGAAAAATCGTAAAATTTACGTTCTTTTTCTTAAAATCTGAAATCTTTAAACACAGAATGCGCGTGGAAAATACGGCACTCTGTCTACCTATTAGAATTGCTAAAGGTTCTTAGTACAGTAGTATGACAATTGAGCCCAAAATTTATGTTGCTACACGACAGTTGTTAAGTGAGTTTTGCCACATTTTATGACCTTTCTTGCCACAGTTGTTAAGTGAATCGTGCAGTCGTTAAGCAAATCTGGCTTCCCCATTGACTTTGCTGGGCCGAAGGTCACGATAGGGGGTCACGTGACTCTGGGACACAGCAACCGTCATAAATATAAGCCAATTCCCAAGTGTCTTAAGTGTGAAAATGGCCATAAGTCACTTTTTTTATGAAGTTGTAACTTAAAACAGTCACTAAACAAATGGCTGAGGTTGAAGTGATTAATCTGTATTTGATTAATTGATTGATTGATTATAACATTTATTTGTCACTATAAGCTGCCCAGAGTCACTCTGGATAGTGAGACGGGTGGCATAGAAATTAAATAAATGAATGTTACTTTCACAGAGCCTCACGGAGAGCAGCCCAGCCAGTTTCTCCTGAGGGGGGGTGGACGGTCTTGACTCAGAAGAGGGAGTCATGGCAAGGCCAAGCCACAGGAACCTTCAGCCACTCACTTTTCCTGTTGTTCAGCCACCGCTAGCCTGTCCGCATCAGGATCCGTAGCCACGACCACTCGCGCTCCCTCTTTCTCCGCCAGCCGCAAAGACAGTTCCTGGAAAAACATTCAGGGTCAACGTTCAAAAGAGCCGATCACAGAGGGTGGATCCCAGCTGATCGACTTGGGGAAGACAATCTCTCCCTTCCTGTCGCCCGCAGAAGCACCGCAGAGACAAAAACCTACCAACACCGATTCTCCTTCTTCGGGATTGGGACATTTGACCGTGGAAAAATCTGGATCGGGGTCTTTTTGTTCGGGGACAGGAATGGGGGGCTGGAAGCCGAAGGCCTGGAAAGCCAGCTGCACGTAGTCGTGCCCCACCCCGTGGAAAGAGGTGTGCACAAACTTCAAGGGGGTCTTTGCGTTCAGCTCTCTGGAATGGAAAAGAGTAGGAAGAAAGCGTTAGAAGGCAGCTAGGGCTTCGAACAAACCTTCACCCTCATCCTACACCCGAACTACAGGTATTCACCACTCCTGCAGGCAGTTAGTCCTATCCAGAGGGAAGAATCCACGTGAAACGGCCCACAGGGTTGTTGTTGTGGGAAAAATAGGAGGAGGGAGGCGTATTGGGTATGTCCGACACTTAAGTTATTCATAAAACTAATCAAGCTGAGTTAAAAATGTCATGAGGGTGTTGGAAACACAAAACCAGGCACTTCCTGTTACTCAGTGAGCAGTTTTATTCATTACTTAAAATATTATCTAATCTTGGTGTCCATTAATGCAGGTAAATACACCTTGGTGTCCATTAATGCAGGTAAATACACCTTCCTTCTCTGGAAATTACATTTCTGCTCTTCAACATGGGACTGCGCTGACAGGAGCACCCACGAATAGGGTCATAGCAATATAGCAATAGCAGCAATAGCAGTAGACTTATATACCGCTTCATAGGCCTTTCAGTCCTCTCTAAGCGGTTTACAGAGAGTCAGCATATTGCCCCCAACAATCTGGGTTCTCTGGGTCGGGTTTCTTACCGGTGGTAGCAGATTTTTTTCAGGTCCTCCACGTAGCTTGCAGAGATTTTTTGCAGGGGGTCTCGAGCGAGAGGGCTGCAGTCCACCAGATTTTCGTTCCAGGAGTCGTTCCACGGCTCCACACATTCTTCAATGCATTTCAGGATCTCCTTATCGTGCGGGGATGTGATCTGAGCACCGTTTTCCCAGTAGACCTGCAGTGAGAGTTTGCCAAAGTGAGGAATTCGCTTAACCGTCAAGTTATGGGCAGAAGTATACAGGTAGTCCTCGACTTATGACTTACAACATCTAACCGGT